TTGAGTATTAAGAGAACTTAAACCTGAGGTTATGGTGTTATAATTAATGTAATTAGTAAAAAGGAAAAATGGAAATAAAAAGGAAGAATGTTAAGATAGAAATTAAATGAGGAATATTTTGGAATTGGTTAATAAATTTAAAATGATGTTGTTCGTTAAACATATTTGTTTTCAAAAAGGATTTATGGCTTTCTGATAATAAGGAATAACTTTTATGGCTGAAGGTTTTCCTTAAACGTTCAAAGAACTTTTGAGAAAAAGATACTCTACGTATAATATTTTGAAATTATAAAACATCACTTTACTATATGGTGTCACCCTGCATGGATGATCATTTCTATCTATAGAATGGTTATTGATTTTGAACTATGAAATTCCTACTAGGCAATTGTGGTCACTCCTTGTTGTTTCATTTTCTTACAGGAAGAGAATTCGGATTGATTGGTTGGAGGGTTAAGAACATGTACCTCTTATGTGTAATCTCCTTGTATATTGATGTTTGTATTTATTTATTTGTAGCTCTACAGTGGAAGTTGAAATGTATTATTATTGTTGTATTCATTGCGAAAGAAAACATGTGTTATTATGTTTCTCTTACTCAAGGGTAATTGATATATATAAAAAAAAAATGGACCTAAATTAAAGGTTTTTGGTAATATTTCCGAATAATTAAAAATTTGGACGTGACAGATCAAAACTGTCTTTTATCCAAAAATAGAATATTTTTTCCGTTATCAATGTAAACGGACGTTATAAATAGGACTAAATTGACTTAAATTGACAAATTTATAAATACCAAAATGACAAAATTAAAATTTAAGGAATTAAAATAACAAAGAATGTATACTTTAATAATTAAAGTTGTCTTTTATCCTACAAAATAAATTATTCACACCCTCCTCAAAGTGATTGAAAGGTTGAGATCTCATTTTGAATGAATCATTTTACTCTTGATTTCTATCTAATTTTTTAATAGATATTATCAACTAAACTAAATTGACACAATATAAAAATATTAAAAAAATTAATAAAATTAGAACAACAAAAACTAAATTAAAGCAAGAGACAAATTACATCCATCACTGATATAATTTGTCCAAATTTTTTTGACACGGCATGCTCTTACCCTGGGAAAGCAGTGAGCAAATTTGTTTACAATCTCAAAAACTGTGTGAAGGTTATTCTCCTTATTGGCTTGTTCGGATAAAGTGAGCCTCACTTGTAACTTAACTAGAACTGTACAAAAGGAACATAGTTAAATAAGTGGTCTTTCTTTTAATTCCGATTATCTTCTTTTTGTTTTGATTTATGAAACTAACTAGAGTTGAAAAGAAGACCATTTATTTATTTAATTATGTTTCCTTTTAACAACCAAGTGGAGCAACCGTCAATAAGAAGAAGAGTAGCATGTTTTGAGTGTGTGAACAAATTTAATCACTTTAAAAACATTATAAGAGACTTTTTTTTTTTTTTTTTTTTTTTTTTATTCAAGAATTATGTCAATTTATACAGATCTCGATTAATTTTAAGATTCACGCAAAGTGTTCTCTTCATGTTTGATTAATTTTGGGACTCATACAAAATGCTCCCTTTGCGTAGATCGAACAAATCTCAAAAAGAGCCCATGAACATGGTCACAAGAAGTTAAATCTGAAATTTAGTGAGAACACATCACCAATGCTCAAGCTACACCTAATAGGCCAACCTTCTAAGTTGGACTATAAGAGACTTTTCATAAATAAAACAAAAGAAGGCAACCCATATAAATCTCTCCATTCACTACAAGCTAAATGGCCATGGCTTCTCAAACTCAAAAGCTTCACTTCATTTTGTTCCCTTTAATGGCCCCTGCCATATGACCCCCATGTTAGACAGAGCCAGATTACTGGCACAACAAGGCGTTATTGTCACCATAGTCACCACACCACTCAGCGCTAATCGATTCACAACAGTCATTGCTCGAGCCCAACAATCTGGACTCCAAATCAAATTTCTCCAACTCAGATTCCCATGTCTCGAAGCTGGACTGCCCGAAGGGTGTGAGAACCTCGACAAGGTCCCTTCGCCTGACATGGCTCAGAAGTTCTATTTTGCAACCAACCAGTATGTTACAACCACCATTGGAACAACTGTTTGGTGAGTTAAAACCAAACCCAAATTGCATAATCTCTGATCAGTATTTGCCATGGACATGTGATGTGGCTCAGAAATTTCATATTCCTAGGCTTGTTTTCCATGGAACCTGTTGTTTTTCTCTGCTTTTGTCACATAATATGCGGACCCACATGGTGTTTGATGAATATAAAGTCTTGGAGGAGTCAGAGTACTTTGTTGTTCCCTGCTTGCCTGACCGAATCGAGCTAACGAAAGCCCAGCTTCCGGGTACTGCCAATCCGAGCTTATCGGGTTTGAATAACATTCGTGAAAAGATTAGGGAGGCTGAGAAATCAACGTATGGGACTGTGGCTAATACTTTTGAGGAGTTGGAGTCAGAGTATGTGAAAGAATACCAAAAGGCGAAAGGAAATGAAGTTTGGTGCATTGGACCTGTTTCGCTATGCAACGAAGACAGGTTAGATAAGGCCGAGAGAGGCAACGAGTCTGCGATTGATGCACGCCATTGCTTGAATTGGCATGACTCACAACAACCAAGAACTGTAGTCTATGTTTGCCTCGGAAGCCTCTCTCGCCAAGCACTTTCGCAGATGATAGAGATTGGGTTGGGGCTAGAAGCATCAAAAGAGGCATTCATTTGGGTCATAAGGGATGAAGTAGAGGAATTGGAGAAATGGAATTTGGAAGACGGGTTCGAAGAGAGGACCAAAGATAGAGGCCTTTTGATCCGCGGTTGGGCACTGATAGTACTGATATTGTCACACCGGGCAATTGGGGGTTTCTTTACGCATTGTGGGTGGAACTCGACACTAGAAGGGATATGTGCAGGCGTGCCAATGACCACATGGCCTATGTTTGGAGAGCAATTTTGCAATGAGAAGTTAATTGTGCAGGTTTTGAGGATTGGAGTGAGTGTTGGTGTGGAGGTTCCTACAAGATGGGGAGAGGAGGAGAAAGTAGGGGTGTTGATGCATAAGGATAATGTTGTGAAGGCCATAGGCAAGTTGATGGATGGGAGGAGAGGAAGGAGAGGAGAGAAGAAAAAGATCTAGGCAGCCTGGGGAAATGACAAAGAGGGCAATGGAAGAAGGAGGTTCTTCTCTCCTCCACATGGCAATGCTAATTCAGGATATCATGGAAAAGGCGACTTCTAGGTAATGAGCGAGAGAGAGAGAGAGAGAGTACTATTGTTGAGTATACGAAGTTTTCTGAGCATTGGAAGGTTAGCATGTCAAAGTTACAGTTCATTGCTATGGAATTTGCTAAAAATAAAATTTTTCATTCATGTCTTATTAAAACTTTTTTTGGTATGATTTTTTGGCAAGATTGTGATGCTGCCCACCACTCCTTAGATGTTTATGAGTAAAGCTGGGTAACTATCCATTCGATTTGTAAAAATTGAATGGTCTAAATTAATCTATCACAAAATAAGCTGTTTCGATATGCTGAGCGAAATACATGAGGATTGGTTTTTCTCAATTCGTCTAAGTTTGGATGGATGATAAATGGGAGGTCATCCGACCCAACTCGATCTGCAAGCACTCCTATTTGTGGGTAATACAATTAAAATGTCTTGAAAAATTGTGATGTTTGTCAATGCTCCTCTAATTTAGTCGGTGACTCTGATTGAGTTTTTTCTACCCCAATTTTTTTTGTAGTTCAATGTCTAAATATGGGTTTAACTGTCACAACCCCTCAAAAATGCCTAAGTATTCAACATAATTTATTGAATTCGTTTAATTTTTTATTTTTAATGACGCTCTTTTCTAATTAATAATGGTAGAATTAGTGGCGGAATCGAGAAATTAAAATAGAAAAAGCACTTTACAATTTCAACTTTTTTTTTTCATGATCAAAATGATAAGATTGTTGAATACAATCTCACATCAGCAATCTAAGTCATCTAAGGTTAGTTAATACAATGTAAAAATCTTTTTACTAATTGTCAATTAATTTTAAATTAAATACTTTAACATGACGATATGAGAGTTAGGTCTTTAATAGCCTCTTGAAATTCTAAATTTTCAACCATAAGCCAATACATTAAGAAAAAAAAAAAAATGCCTCTCAAAGTTCTATATTTTCAACCATAAGCTAAAACATTAAAAAAATAAAAAATTGAAAAGTTAAGAGACACGTGACCGCGTTGGATAGAACAACTATATTTGTCTGTTATTTAACAGCAATGATTGAGGGTCACAATTTTTGTGGCTCAAATGGCTCGAAATTGTTAAAACGACGTCGTTTTGAGTACAAAACAACTTCAAAATTGCCAAAACGACGTCGTTTTGGCAATTTTGAGCCATTTGAGCCACAAAAATTGTAGCCCTCAAACATTTTCCGTTATTTAAATAGAATTTTTTTTGGAACACACCTTCTTTGACCCTTTGAAATGTGTATATTATATGCACATTTAGTTATAATTTTGATAAATTCTAATTACACTTTCAAGATTTATTTAAAGTATCGATTGTTTCTTGTAGTTCAAAAAATTATAAATACCTCCTTATTAGAATTTTTTATTTAACAGAATTAACTTAAAAAATAAAATTTATAATTGTTCTCTTATACATACAATAATAAAATTACCTAAATTATTAATTGAAACATATTTCTAATATCATTAAAAACTGTTAATTGACTTAATGATTTATTAATAAAAATGATGATTTATTATAAAATTAAAAACTTCAGGGAATGGAATATAATTTTCAGAACCACAAAGGGTGATTCGTATTTTAATCTAATCTCAGGACTGTATTTGTTATTTACACTAATTTTTATATCTTTGATTATGATCTATTAAATTGTTAATGATAATATTATTTCATTATTATTCAAAGATTATTTTTTACTTTTAGTTATAATTCTTATGGTATGAAACCATGACGCAACATCTGGTGGCGTGGGCCGAGAGATTTCTCTCTGATGATACTGTCAAAGGATGTTACTCGACACTGAAATGCTTATTGAGGTTGGCAAGATAGCCAGAGGCAAGGCAAGAGCAACTTCTTAGAATTGACATGTCGAGTTCACAATTGTATAAGACATGGTTTGGGAATAGGTTATTTTAATAATTTTTTAATTTTTTGTTTAAAATATGAAATAAAAAAATTAGTATGTTTGGAATATTTTTTAGTTTTTTACGAAAAATAAAGAAATAAAAGAATCTTTGACTTTTTAGTATAAGTTATAGATTTTTTTTATTTTTTTTAGTAACTTTTTATCTTTTAAGCTAAAACTATAACATGCCAAACGAGACCAAAGACAAAAAAAAAAAAAAAAAAAAAAAAAAAAAAAAAAAAAAAAAAATTGAATTTTTTTGCATGTGGTTGTGGGTCCACATACAAGTGAAAAAAAAAAATCTACTCATAGTGGAGTGATTTATGAGACTAAATTCTAAAGAGTCGAAATTTCAAAGGTTATTTTTAAGTGATGCTATACAGTATAGTCACTCAATCATATAGTGGTGAGTCACGAACTTACACATAGGCAAAGATTCGAACCTATAGTCCTGATACTAGATACAATCTGTCTAGACTTGAAAAATTTATCCTACCAATTCTATGTGTTATTGTCCGAATAACTGATACCGAAAAGAATAAAAACTTAAGATCTCAATACTTATGCCTCAAAGCTTGCGATCACTATCCCACATGCAAGTGTATAGTGTCATGTGATTGATTTTGTATTTGCGAGTTTATTTTGTGAATTGATAAGTTGGCCAACTTTCATTGCGCAGATGATTCACTGTGATTGTCAGATCATGGTGTGTTGTATGATCAACCAAAATAAATAAACGATTAAAACGTTGCTATCCTAGTTCCACAAATGGTGGCAGGTATTTAACGAGTTTAATGAAGTTGATACAATAATTGCTATCACCTTATTTTCATAAACATATATATGCCCTGAAGTGGAGTGTCGATAGGGATGACAATTTAAACTCGGCTCGACGGGGACTCGCTCTTTCGACCCCGATTATAGCAGTTTTTTTTCTGAAAAATACTCCTGATGGGCCGGGGATGGTGTTCGAAAATGAATCCCCAATAATTTTTGGGTCGAGAATGGTGATATGTTTCCCAACCCCAGCCCCGACCCCATCTCCGTTACCCCCCCAACGTAAAATTACTATATATACCTCTATTAAGTTATGACCCAACCCATTGACTCCCCTCTCTCTCTCTCTCTCTCTTCCATCTACTCTCTCTCACTTTCGTACATCTCCTCATTCTCAGCGCCACCGCCTGTTCGCGACGCCGATTGTCCTCCTCCGCCTCTCTGCGGCACCAATTGTCCTCCTCTATCGTTTGTCACAGTCACAATCGCCTCCCTCGTCCCCCCTCTCTCTCTCTCTCTCTGTGACACAGATACACAGATCTCATATCTCAAATCTATTTGTGTATATATGTATACATGTATATGTGTGTGTCTCTATTTGTCTATATATATATTTTTTTGGTAGTGGATCTATTGATGATTTTGTTGATGATGTTGATGTTGAAAATGAAACAATTGGGGATGATGATGATCATGTTGTTGATGGTGTTATTGAAACAGATTTGGGCCGGGAAATTTTCGGGATCAGGAAAACCCGATCCCTGTTAGGAGGTGGGGACAAGGACGGTGATAGGTTTCTTGTTGGGGATCGGGGCTAGGAACGGGGAGATTTTCACAATTGGGGATCGAGAATGGGGAGTGTGATCTCCGGCCCCACCCCAGCTTGTTGCCATTCTAAGTGTTGATGCAAAGACAAAAATATTTAATGGATGTTGTTGTGTGTGTGTGTTTTTTTTGTTTTTTTTTATTTTTTGTGATAACTATATGTCTCGACTATTTTTGAGTTTTTAAAATTAACGATGAAACAAATTTTTAAATATTCATTGAAAAGACTCACACTATAGAACTTGAATTTTAATCTTAAATCTTTATCATTCCACTTATTCAAAAAAAAAAAAAAAAAAAAAAAAAAGATATATATATATCTCTATCATTCGACCAAACACATAGGTGTCGTTTGGTAACACTTACGTTTTCAGTTTTCTATTTATATTTACAAAAAATTTAAAAACTCAAATAAAAACTTGTTTGGTAAAATTTTTTATTCATAAATCAGTAGTCTCAGTTTATAAATTTGACAAAAAAATGAAAACACAAAAAATATGTTTCCGTTTTGAGTTTTGAGTTTTTTTTTTTTTACCACCCAACATTACCCACCACTCGCCACCATTTTCCACCACCATCTTTAGCCACCACCACCCACCTTCCACCCACTCACCA